AGAGAAAGAATTGCTCAACATAAAGCTAATAATGTTGATGATTTAATTACAGAATAAAAAGGTAACACAGGATATTACAGAATTCACAAGGTTCTGAGCTCCTTAAGAGGAGGAGGTAATTTTTCATCTTTGTGCTTTTAGTGGTTAGCACAATCTACAGAATATGGTGAATTCTCCACATGTATACCTAAGAGGGCTTATGGTATGACGGATTTGTCTCTCTCTCCTATAATTCATAGTGACCCCACACCGAAGCAAGAAAATTAAAATGTCTGAATTCCATCTTCAATCTTTACGCATATATAGTATTCATTTTCAACATTTTTTATTGAGGAACTGCGATTACATAAAAGAAAAAAATTACCAGAAAACACAACTATGGCTCCACAAATACATATTCTTTTTGAACTATGTTATTAGATAAGTGAAATGAGATAGATGGATTAATATACATCACTATAATTCCCCCAAATGAATGTTGAAACGTTGCTTAAAGCTGCATAGGCAATACTATATTTAAAGTTCAAGAATGTTCTTAAACGTGTATTTCTCGACATCGTTATGAGACATCCCTCCCAAAAAATGCATTTTTAAAAAAGCTCCTAGTAACCATTGATCTCCTAATAGTTTTTAAAACAGCATTTTGGCATAATTTGCTTTGCTGAATGAGAAAACTTGTGTAATTGTTAAGAATTTTTTATTCAAAATTCATACCCTAAAATTTAATGAAGAGAGAAGAAATACTCTTTATGAACCTTATAGGATATCTTTATATGACCTGAAATGACAGTGTAAATGCAATTCACTGGAAAACGTTTAAACAGATTAAAATTGTTTCTGCAATTGTACGCAATTGCTTGAATCACTTCATTGCATCCTTGTCTCCATCATGTTCCCCTCGGAGTTAGTTGTACCATTTCTCTATGTCAGCTATGTTATACCATTTCTCACTTACTATAGCCCACCAGTTTGCTGTAACCAGTCATTTCCCCCATACCATTGGTCTTGTTATTTGAGCTACGAAATGGAACAATGGCTTCCTAGATCTTAGAAAAGTAGCAAGTGTGTAAGAGAACTGCCCTTTGCTCTTACAGATTCAAATCCTGGCTCTACTATTCCCTAGCCACTTACCTAACCATCTAAACACCTGCATTCCACCCCTCCTCACCACCGTCACCCCACCCTCTTCTCTTCTTGGTAATATGAGGGTATTAACAGTGCCTGACTCATAGACTGGATGTGAGAATAAATTGAGGTAATACATATAAACAGTTAAGCCCGATATCTGGCACATATTAGGGGTTCAATAACTGCTGGCTATTTTTTGTTAAATTAGACACGATTTCCATTACGTTGTAGCAACTATATATGTGATGGCTTGGCCCCAGGAATTTTGTCATAATAAAACACAGGTGTACCTCTTCAGGGCATCCACTGTCCACCCAGTCCTGCCGATGGCGATCAAATCCACTGGAACATCTTCAAAGAAGACCACATTGCAGTGCAGAAAAGAAAAGTATGAGATGCAGGAGCAGGGGCAGAAATGAAAAGAAAAAGATTGGTAAATGGTTAATTCTCACGTGCTCAGTTTAGCACAACATAAACTTTCTTGTACAGAACTGGTAACTGGAGAAGCAGTGAAACATTTAGAGTGTCACTAGGTTATCACTCACTGCTTAGGTTGTCACACTATCAGCATCACACATGGCAACAAATCACTCTGCTCAGGCAGACTACACTGTA